AGTCAGTCAGTCAGTCAGTTGCAACGTAGAACTTCGTACGTAAGTACATCAGTTCATGTCGCCATACCACATCAGCACAGAGATATAATTGTCAATTCAAATCCAATAGTAGTAGAGGTATTAAAGGTATTAGAAGTAATCGTAGACGTTAGAATTAGAAGATATTATTCACGAAGAGTGATTCAATGAGATAAGTTTAGAAAGTAAAAGCTAGAGGTGTTGAAGAACTCAGAAGATTAGGATTTGAGAGAACACAAAGAATAAATGCACTGGCGCCATTGCGAACGATTTTGAGCCATGTCATTCAAGGTCTCAAACCATCGATTATTATCATCTCGCGGACCCCAACCAGGTAGTCGACAATTACCGACATGGCTAAGTCCACTCGTCAATGACTTCATGGATTTATGCCATGTTTTGGTTTGACCGCCCCTAATTTCTTTCCAACCTATTCCTACTACAACAAAACAAAGCTCGACGAGGCAGTCGGTGGTTAGGCATACGCAACACGTGTCCCAACCACCTCAACCGATGAAGTTTCACCACTTCATCGATTGATCTGCCATCCCTACGTAGTATCCGTTTCCTAACAACAGCATTGCGTACTCGATTGTCCCAAGATAAACGAGCAATGCTTCGAAGACATCTACAATTAAATACTAATATCCTACGAATATTCTCTACTGTTAGCTGCCATGTTTCACACCCATATAGTGGGATGGAGCGAACTACTGCACAGTAGACTCGTTCTTTGGTTAGCAGACGGATATCTCGCCTATGCCATAAGTGATACAAGTTGGCAACACAGTCCAGTTGTCAGTGACTCCATGCTTCAATGGGATCAATATACCTTAAAAGATAAAAAAAAATCATTCATCTGACCTCTTGTTCTACAACATAATACACAACATCAGATCATTTTATTTTTTTACTCATTCTCCTTAGTCAAAAATAGAAGAATTCTACACTGAATAAATTTCCGCATAGAATTACAAAAAAAACTTACCACCACGTTCAACATCATAACTATTCGGATCAAATTGTGCATTATCATTTGGCATATGAACACTAGCAATGAGTAGATGATTTTGTTCATCCGATGTATGCGTACCCAATATAAGTCGATGTATAGAAAAATCTTTACCTTCTGGTCTATAATAATAAAATAAAATAAAAAAGATTTCAATTTCAATATTGTGATCAACATTCATGTGTACGAAAAAATTATTTTTAAGAATTTATACAATAATGAATGATGCCTCAAAATTAATGACTAGTGTGATCAATCAATCTATCGATCAACGTAGAATTTCGTACGTACATTAGTTCAAATTGCCATATCACATTAGCACACACAGAGATGCAATTGTCAATTCAAATCCCATAGTAGTCAGTCAGTCAGATGCAACGTAGAACTTCGTACGTAAGTACATCAGTTCATGTTGCCATTCCACATTAGCACAGAGAGATGTAATTGTCAATTCAAATCCAATAGTACTAGAGGTAGTAAAGGTATTAGAAGTAATCGGAGAGGTTAGGATTAGAAGATATTATTCAAGCAGTATAATTTAGTGAGATAAGTTTAGAAAGACAAAACTAGAGGAATTGAAGAATCCAGAAGATTAAGATGTGAGAGAACACAAAGAATAAATACACCGGCGCCATTGCAAACGCTTTTGAGCCATGTCGTTCAAGGTCTCTAACCATCGATTATTATCATCTCGCGGACCCCAACCAGGTAGCCTACATCTACCAACATGACTCAGTCCACTTCTCAGTGATTTCATGCATTTCTGCCACGTTTTGGCTTGGCCGCCCCTAACTTTCTTCAAACCCACTCCTACACTACAAAACAAAGCTCGACGAGGCAGTCGGTGGTTAGGCATACGCAACACATGTCCCAACTACCTCAACAGATGAAGTTTCACCACTTCATCTATTGATCTGCCATTCTTACCTAGCACCCGTTTCCTAATAACAGCGTTGATCACCCGGGTGTCCCAGGATATACGCGCCATGTTTCGAAGACACCTATGATCGAAAACCAGTAACCGACGAATATCTTCTACTCTCATTGGCCATGTTTCACAGCCATAAAGTAAGACGGAGCGAACTACTGCGCAGTGCACTCGTCCTTTAGTCAGAAAACGGATATCTCGCCTACGCCATAAGTGACGCAGGTTGGCAAAAGCCAATCGAGCCTTCTGTATCCGTGCTGAGATTTTGTCAGTCATCAGGCCATCAGCGCTGATGAGACTCCCAAGATAAGTGAAGCGGTCTACACGTTCGACCACTTCACTCCCTATCACTAGTTCAGGTGCCGTTGCAACCCAATCTTGAAGCAACATTTTGCATTTCGAGGGGGAAAACCGCATCCCGAACGTGCTCGCATTGTTGCTTAGGGTGGTCAGAAGACTCTGCATTTCGTCAGCGTCTTCACCAAGTAGGACTATGTCATCGAGCGAGCCACATGGCAAAAGGTCTACTCCTGAAAATTGAGACGAGGATAAGGTTATTTCTAGGAGCATGTCTATGATAAAATTAACGAGCTATGCTTTGTGGTGTCGGAGTAGTTTGGAAGAAAGTTAGGGGCGGTCACACCAAAACATGGCAGAAATCCATGAAGTCACTGACAAGAGGACTGAGTCATGTTGGTAAGTTAAGACTACTTGGTTGGGGTCCGCGAAACGATAGCAAACCGATGATTAGAGACATCGAATGAACATAGCTGAAAATCGTTCGCAATGGTGGAGGTGCATCCACTTTTTGTCTCCCCTCAAATTCCAATCTTCTGAATTCCTCACCACTTTTCATTTTCGCTTTCTTATTTCACCAGGGTAAACTTCTTGAATAATATCTTTGATCCCTAACCTTTTTGATTACTGCTAACGCTTTTAATATCTCTACTAACCTGAGATTGCAATCTCAGGTTAGTAGAGATATTAAAAGCGTTAGCGTAATCAAAAAGGTTAGGGATCAAAGATATTATTCAAGAAGTTTACCCTGGTGAAATAAGAAAGCGAAAATGAAAAGTGGTGAGGAATTCAGAAGATTGGAATTTGAGGGGAGACAAAAAGTGGATGCACCTCCACCATTGCGAACGATTTTCAGCTATGTCATTCGATGTCTCTAATCATCGGTTGCTATCGTTTCGCGGACCCCAACCAAGTAGTCTTAACTTACCAACATGACTCAGTCCTCTTGTCAGTGACTTCATGGATTTCTGCCATGTTTTGGTGTGACCGCCCCTAACTTTCTTCCAAACTACTCCGACACCACAAAGCATAGCTCGTTAATTTTATCATAGACATGCTCCTAGAAATAACCTTATCCTCGTCTCAATTTTCAGGAGTAGACCTTTTTGCCCAGTTGGCTCGCTCGATGACATAGTCCTACTTGGTGAAGACGCTGACGAAATGCAGAGTCTTCTGACCACCCTAAGCAACAATGCAAGCATGTTCGGGATGCGGTTTTCCCCCTCGAAATGCAAAATGTTGCTTCAGATTGGGTTGCAACGGCACCTGAACTAGTGATACGGAGTGGAGTGGTCGAACGTGTAGACCGCTTCACTTTATCTTGGGAGTCTCATCAGCGCTGATTGGCCTGATGACTGACAAATCTCAGCACGGATATAGAAGGCTCGATTGGCTCTTGCCAACCTGCGTCACTTATGGGAAGGAGAGATATCCGTTTGCTGACTAAAGGATGAGTGCACTGCGCATTAGTTCGCTCCGTCTTACTTTATGGCTGTGAAACATGGCCAATGAGAGTAGAAGATATTCGTAGGTTACTGGTTTTCGATCATAGGTGTCTTCGAAACATGGCGCGTATATCCTGGGACACCCGGAGTGATCAACGCTGTTATTAGGAAACGGGTGCTAGGTAAGAGATGGCAATCAATAGATGAAGTGGTGAAACTTCATCTTTTGAGGTAGTTGGGACATGTGTTGCGTATGCCTAAACACCGACTGCCTCGTCGAGCTTTGTTTTGTAGTGTAGGAGTGGGTTGAAGAAAGTTAGGGGCGGCAAGCAAACGTGGCAGAAATGCATGAAATTCACTGAGAATTGGACTGAGTCCATGTGGTAGATGTAGGCTACTGGTTGGGGTCGCACGAGATGCCGCGAGATGATAATAATCGATGGTTAGAGACCTTGAACGACATGGGCTCAAAAGCGTTTGCAATGGGCGGCCGGTGTATTTATTCTTTTGTGTTCTCTCACATCTTAATCTTCTGGATTCTTCAATTCCTCTAGTTTTGTCTTTCTAACTTATCTCACTAAATTATACTGCTTGAATAATATCTTCTAATCCTAACCTCTCCGATTACTTCTAAATACCTTTACTACCATCTATACTATTGGATTTGAATTGACAATTACAATCTCTCTGTGCTCTTGTGGCTAATGGCAACATGAACTGATGTACTTACGTACGAAGTTCTACGTTGCATCTGACTGACTGACTACTATGGGATTTGAATTGACAATTGCATCTCTGGGTGTGCTAATGTGATATGGCAATTTGAACTAATGTACGTACGAAATTCTACGTTGATCGATAGATTGATTGATCACACTAGTCATTAATTTTGAGGCATCATTCATTATTGTATAAATTCTTAAAAATAATTTTTTCGTACACATGAATGTTGATCACAATATTGAAATTGAAATCTTTTTTATTTTATTTTATTATTATAGACCAGAAGGTAAAGATTTTTCTATACATCGACTTATATTGGGTACGCATACATCGGATGAACAAAATCATCTACTCATTGCCAGTGTTCATATGCCAAATGACAATGCACAATTTGATCCGAATAGTTATGATGTTGAACGCGGTGGTAAGTTGTTTTTTTTAAAAATTCTATGTGGAAATTTATTCAGTGTAGAATTCTTTCTGTTTGTTTTTTTTGACTAAGGAGAATGAGTAAAAAAATAAAATGATCTGATGTTGTGTATTATGTTGTAGAACAAGAGGTCAGATGAATGATTTTTTTTATCTTTTAAGGTATATTGATTCCATTGAAGCATGGAGTCACTGACAACTGGACTGTGTTGCCAATTTGTATCACTTATGGCATAGGCGAGATATTCGTCTGCTAACCAAAGAACGAGTCTACTATGCAGTAGTTCGCTCCATCCCACTATATGGGTGTGAAACATGGCAGCTAACAGTAGAGAATATTCGTCGGCTATTAGTATTCAATTATAGATGTCTTCGAAGCATTGCTCGTTTATCTTGGGACAATCGAGTACGCAATGCTGTTGTTAGGAAACGGATACTACGTAGGGATGGCAAATCAATAGATGAGGTTGTGAAACTTCATCAGTTGAAGTGGTTGGGACATGTGTTACGTATACCTGACCACCGACTGTCTCGACAAGCAATGTTTTGTGGTGTAGGAGTACATTGGAAGAAATTTAGGGTTGGCCAAACCAAAACATGGCAGAAATGCATGAAGTCACTGACAGGCGGACTGAGTCATGTAGGTGGGTGTCGAGCTGATATACTAATCAATGATTAGAGACTTTGAATGAAGCGGCTCAAAATTTGTTTGCAATGACTCAGATGCATCGATTCTTTACCTTCTCTCAAAGTATAATCTTTTGAATTCCTCATAAGCTTTCTTCTCCTGTTAAAATTTATTTCACTAGATAAGTTTTAAAAAAAAAGCCAGAATGCTTTCACCACAACCATATCAATGGGTTTCCTAACAGAAAAATTAACATTTTCCACTAACTGTTGTGTGTGTGTGTGTATGTGTGTACTAGCTAATTTGACAGGTCTAATTTTTCTACCATTTTCATAGGTTAAAGTAACGCCAATAGAAAAAGTACTTGGATTGCTTCTTATATAATTAATTCCATCTGTTTTTTTGGAGATACTTAAAAAAAAGAAAAGTCTTGATTATTTCAAAGAACAATGCGATTGTGTGTTTGAGATGCCTTTGCCACCTTGAAGTATAAATTGTTGCTTCAGGATCAGCATTCATCCATTGGCTAGATTAATCATGATTAATTAGGTAGTGCAGTGCGTTAATCACTTCACACTTATCTTAGTGGTGCCTTTAAGCTTGATAAGTTAGTGTCTAAAGAAATCTGTGCACAGATTTGAAACTGTCATTTAACTTTCGTAGTGTAGGCTAGATATCCTTCTACTTTAATAGTATGTGAAAGCGACAAGTATGTGAATAGCTGAAATGTC